GAATCTGTTGTTCAATTGCATTTCCTTCTTTTTGTTATCTTGTTCACAAAGATTGGCCTAACTTAGAACTTCAGGTTTCAAATTCATTAAAACACTGCTTTCGGGTGCAAGTTGCAGGTAGACAACAGGCATATGGGAATTCACTTCAAGTTACCTGCTAGGTAATTACTACAAGCAGGTAATATCCTTATGAAGGGTATACTTTGAATGATTTCAGTTAAAGAACCTGCAGCAATTATTTAAAAAAAAAAAAATAAAAGGCGTCTACAGCATTTAACAAAAGCAATGATTCTATATGCTTGGGAAAAATGAAAAAAAGCATTAGTTTAGAAACAATGTTAGATGATACAGTGAACCTATGTGACTGAGATCTACCAAAGCTGTGTTAGGCAATTAATACAGATGAAATAGTATAGTTTCTCAAATATATCATAATTTCCAACTGAGAAAATGAAATTAAAACGATCCCAGGAAAAGTTTAGATATGTAAGAAGAGGAGGTATTTCTCAATCTACACAGGAAGCTAAAAGTGAGGGTAAGAGCCTCTTTTGGCACAGAAGTCTCAGTAATGACTAGATGTTACTAGAACAATAGAGTTGATTTGGTCCAATGGAAAGACCTAACATTTTAAAATGTTATCTGGAAAGACAATTTCTCAGTAGCATCACTTCCAGGGTACAATAGCGAGGAAAATACCATTCGTTTGGTACATGCACATTAATGGTAAAATGCTGAAAAACAAAATCACATTAGACTGCAAAAGCAGCAGGTAATTCTGATTTCTCAGAACTAGGTCCGTAGACCTATCCCTAAGACACGTTAGGGAGAGCCTTTTCCTCTTTATGATTCATGTTACAAGACCTTGAAAGCTATTTGCATCATATGCCTTTCATACCTCAGGGATTTTTTTATAAAAATTAATTATCAGGAAACAATGCAATATATTGCGAAATACAAACAATCAGCAATGTTGTGTACACACGAAGAAATTATCTGCTGACAGGGAGGAAAGACAGCACAGAAAAACCCTGAAAATAAATTGCTTAAGAATCAACTGTGATAGTTGTAAGCAGAAAGTCTGTATGCAAAATTAGTATCTACTAGATCATTTCAGAGAAGAAAGATTCTTCTAAGAATTGAACATGCTCATTGTGGAAAAAGAATATTACTGACATTTTAAAATCTAGTTAATTGAGATAATTTTTTTCATCCAGATTACATGGAAAATCTGCATCTTTTTGAGAAAGATCAAAGTCCTGTGACTATGAACCCACTCAAATGAAAAATAAGGAAGAAGAAAGGAGTTGTTCTGCCTGGAAAACCAATGCATTTTGCACAAGAAAATCTTGAGGTTATATAATCACCTGCCAACACTGTAAATGCCTTCTAATGAAGTCATGCAGTAACATTTCATTTTGCTCCCAGAGGGGAAAAAAGAAAAAAGAATCTTTTAATTGGAAATCACTTAGCTTGCTACAGCTATCACAATGCACACATACTCACTAACTCAACCGCCTTGTCTCACTGCAATAGACTGAGACAAATAGCAAATTACAGAATGTCATATGGAAAAGTTTGCCTAAAACGCTGTTTGTTGCTTAAAAAAGAATTCATAAAAATACATATGTTTACTATTCTTTATATGAGTCTTTTAGGGTATGGAGGTGACTACTGTATTCCTTAGATCATTTTGAAAGAGGATGCTGAACAGAAAAATTGAAACCCCTAATTTTCAAGTGTCAAATCTTGCAATTTTACTCTGTATTTTTAATGCAGTCTTTCTACGCAATTTCCTACAGTTTTTTTTTCTTAGAGAAAAAAAACACAACATTTCGGTGTACAAGTGTAACAAACTCCCAAATCAGGTGCTATGCTTAGGATTTAAATTCCAATGTTTCAGCACAGCTGGAACTACAAGACTAACTATACCAACTGGAAGAAGGGATGGCAAGCTGTTACCCTAGAAGGCTGGCCCTTTGTATTTTGCTGATGCTCAGGTCTCTGGCTTGTCTTAGAAAAGCAAATGAAGATTTTACTCCAGACTACAACCTCAAGGAAAAATTGATAAGGCAACCTCTGCTTGATCTTCCATATACAATGGCTCCAATTCCCTCAGTCTGTAACATGATACACATTTAGTTATCCTCCAAAAGCGTTAACAAACTTTTCTTTGCAGTAAAAGAAAGAAATAAATGGCAATTTGAAAAAAATATGCTGCTCAGCTGACTTGTTATGCTCATCAAGAAAACATCACAATCTCAGAAGTAGCTCCATCTAAATCAAAGTAGACACAGAACATGTAGAAAACCGTAAAAGTGCTCTGTAGAAATCAAATATCCAGTCTCTTGTACAAGCTGTTTTACAAGAGTGGCAAAGAAGAGAAAACAAACAGAAAAAATCATGCTGATTCATTCTGATAGAGCCCTATGTAGAACTGAACATATTTCTTGAGTAATCTGTGAGATCTTAAGAATTGCATGACAGCCTCTCCAGATAGAGCTGAAGGTAGGCTAAGTACATAAATCTATAAGCCATAGAAACCAGAAGCTACGGTAGGCAAGTTCTTTGTGTCACACTGATGTATAGTGTTGCCATCTCAGTTTTAGTCCAGGCAACTCCAACATCTGATGTTGCCAGAATCCTGTCCACTGTAGTCCTGCGCTTATATGGAAAAAAACACTCACAAAAATTAGTGAAAGGTAAGTTTCCCATGGCAATGGCTTCTTCAGGGTTAGAAAATCTGCAAGGTTCTTCCAAGAATTCCTCCAAGAAAATCCAGAAACAACTAATGAGTAGAAATAATCTTAGGTAATTTTAACAGCTAAGTTTGAGGCATGTGAGTCTAGTCTTTATGACCAGTGGAGAGATCTGGCACTTCCAGATAGCGAGTCATTTCATTCTAAATAAGTCTTCTATCCCCCTTTATCATCCTCTGGAAATGCCCGTTTCTCTTTACTGACTCTGAATGAAGTCTGGCGTCATTCTCCTAAATCTTAGAAAATGAATACTTGGGTGGCTCAAATTAGGCAAAATCCCCCTAGATATAAAAACATTAATAATCTCAGTTTAAATACAAAACATTACTACTTTTTAATCAACCCTTGCTCTTTTCTAAATTATTAGAATCAGGAACATAGTATGTAGTAACTTTTTTGCCATCTTCCTACAGAATATAAATCTCATTCCACAATTTTCTAACGAAGATTTTTGTCCATTAACAATAGAAACTGTTTGGCTGATTCCAGAAAGCATAAGTTCTGTATTTATAGCTGATACTTAAAGTCTGAAGAATATGTCCTATCAAATTATAAAAATTTTGAGACACATCAAATTACTAAATGCTGCATAGATCATTCTCTCAGTATTTTTTTTTTACTACAAAAGATTTACGTAGCAATTAGGAATTTGACCTACTGTAAAACTGTTTTTTTTCTTTTCCACAGGGCATTAAGATTTTAATTTGCAATAACTGTCCAGCAAATACCAAGTAACTCAATTGGAAATAACAATGCGAGTCACAGTGCCCCAAATCTCAAGGTCAATCAGTAAGTGACCAAAGTAGAAGCTGTTCCTACCACACTGCTTGAACACTGGGTACAGCTGCCCACTCTATGATGTTTCTATGCACAGGGTACAATGAGCTCTGGAAGGAATGTATGTCACAGGTGTGGAGGAATGATATGGCACCCTTATTAAAATATTTCAATCAAACCAGAACCGCAGCCCTGTAGTGTATCTATCATTAACAAGTACATATAGCACTTGCTAGAGCTAAAGAGCTCCAAAATCCCTCTCTGTGCACTGGGATAAAAGGAAAAAGTGGTAAGCAATCTGTGTTAGAGCAGGCCAGGGCACCATGACAAAGCAACGTTAGCAGCTGTGGCAGTACAAATTCTGCAGTAGCAGAACACATAAGCATGCAGACAAGCTCAAAGAACGAGCAATCAATTGGCTCAACAACACCACAGTGAAAGTAACGTCAAGGTTAACAGTATTTCTTTACACAGAATAAATTCTCAGTTCTAACCAAAAGAGAGAGCCAGAGTTGACAGGAAGATAAAAATTCTGCTCAGGTGATTAAGGATATAGAACAGTTGTCATACACTATATTATTATTGTAACAAAACCAAAAGGTCACCATAAATAAGTTCATAGCACTACAACTACAGTGTAGACAAAATATTAAATAAACTTACTTTGCTAGAGAAAACAGACCTTTAAATTAATTTCAGCTTTAGTCTCTGAATAACAACAGGATGACTCTTTTAAAAACACCAGTCAACTAAAAAGTTACAGACAGTCCAACATTTTGAACAGGTACATTATAATGAAGGTTAGTAGAATTGCTTCATACGAAGAATACTCTTCCTATTAGAAAACTCAATTTTCAGTTACTCCAATTTTAGCACCTGGGTTCAATTTTCCATGCTGAGTATCTGAATTAGATTTCCCAGGGAATATTTTAATCTCTACATTTCAGAAACACTTATTTCTGAAAATAAGTCTTATTATGCTTAAAAAATTACTATGGCTTCCTCTTTGAGAGTAACCATGTACATCCCTACAAAAATCCACTCTCAAGCTGATTTAAATTGCATTTATTAATATTTAAATTCCCTCTCCCCACCCTTCCATGCTCTAATCACAACTATCTCAAATGTCTGGGTTCTACAAAAAAAATCTTCCACTTTTACTGGGAAGGACTTTACTGGGGCATAAGGTTCACAGAAAGATGTGTACTGCCTATCTCTATTGGTGGGGGAAAGAAGGCTACTCATAAATAATGATAAAAAACTTAATTATGTTCTTAACATTTCTTGCCTATGACATGCATGTGGATATTTAAAGTTGTATACTCTACTGAATGTGCAATAATTGTGAATTTTCTATAGGCTCAAATTTAAAGCTTGTTCAGTATGATATCTATAACCATCCCTGCCCCCGCCTCCAGGGTAAATTTTAATATTATTATAAGAAAAGAAAAAAATCTTTGGACTTACTCGGAAGTAGTCACTGCAGGCTGCCAGGACTGCTTTATGTGCATGGAATTTCTGCTCTTCAGCAATAAGCGTGATATCACAAAGTATGCCATCACTTCTTTGTTGGTTCAGGGCTGCCAGGACAGCATCATTATGGGAGCTGGACTGACAAAGCCTCTGACCTGTCAGCATTTCCTGAATGCTGAGAGGGGAAAGGGGAAAGATTTTGTCAAAAAAAAAAATGTAGGAAACAAGCAGATTCTGTCAGAAACATAAAATAACTTTTTCTAAGACAAGACTGTTTGATAATTCTTGGAAAGAAAAAAAAGTCATGAACCCTGTCAGGCAAAAGTCTTTATATGGAATAGACATCACAAGAAAAGCTCAGTATAACAAAGTATTATGAAACCTGATTATATACTTAAATTTAAAAACCTCAACTGTTCCGATTTTCATTTGCTGCACTGGAAGTCAGCTGGACTCATAGGATTAATTCAGAATCATTTTAGAATTAAGTGAGAAGAATAAAGGGCCTAGGCCAATGGAACGACAGAAAACTTCACGTGGCTCAAACTGATGCATTAGTGGAAAGGAGTATGTATGTATGTAACTAGTCCTACTAAAAAGAATGAAGACTTATGGTCTCAGGTGGCTGTTTAAGTCTGATACTGCATTACTGAATGTTTTCAGACCATTTCAGGTCATTCACATTTATGAAGTGTTGTGGGTTTTCTTTGTCTGTTTTGTAGTGGGGGGGAGGATGTTTGCTTGTTTTCAAAATGCTGAGGCCTTCCACCACCTCTGAATATCTCCTTGTACAAATACAAGATTCCCATGTCTTCCAGCCTAGGATTGTCTGATTGCAGCTTCCTTTTCTACAGCAGAAGGAAGAGACAATATAACTGTTGATGCAAACAGAAACAAACCAAACAAATCTGCAAATCCTCTTTGGCACAAAACAATGCAGTTTATTTTAAATCTGTGAGACTATACCAATTTATATTGCCCGAGAATCTAGTCTTTATAGAAGGTGAGTTTACAGAGAGTCATTCCTGAGTAAATCAAAGTGAAGGTATAATTTTTTTTTTTTATTAAGGAGTAAATAAGCTATCATCTTTCCACTACAATCATGTAATTCACTCCATACACATGCTATGCAGCAGCTGTGGGGCTGCTATATTCTCCTTTCCCATCAACACACACTCTCTGCACTGCCTATCCAACTCCTGCAGCTCGGGCATCTGTAAACTAATGAAGACCTGCCTTGCAGACTGTTTGCTCCAATCTAACCTAATCTTTTTAAAAGATAAGAACTAAGATGTTACTTCTAGAAGAATGATGGCCAAAGTGGAATTACACAGGAATAACCTGTATCCGAATTTCACCCCCTCTCTAATAGTTTAGGTTTCACACATGGACATACCCTACATACATTTCAAAATGATTCATTCAAATCATTCTTCTTCCTTCAGCTGTTCTGTTTGTGGAAGCCCACTGTTATTCTAAATGACAATTATCAAGAAACATAACTTGTTAAAATACAAGGGAATTATTTCTAACAATTATTTCCCTTCTGTAACTTCTATAGCAAAGTGACTAAATCAAACTAGTGCAAGTATAATAAGCTAATTATACCTAGAGATGGTTTCTCTTTATTTCCGTTTTTATTAGCCTTTCTCCCAGTGTTGTGAACCATGACCTTCATTCCTCTTGCTTTTTTAACCATCATCCAGAGGTGAAAGCCCTTTTCCACAAGAAAAGGACTATTTCACTCGATAGAAAACAGATCGGAGGGACAAAGCACAAGGGTAATTTTTGTGGGAAAATTTTATATGTATATAAACACACACACACATAATATATCTAAAATCAGGCATCTGTGGATTTAAATTGAGCTCTATCATAATTCTTTTTTCAATTCAATGAGCACAGTGAAAAATCAATTGCCTGTAACCCTTGTGTTAACAACATATGAAGAATGTATACACATGCCAGGCAATTTAACGGGAATTTATGAATCAAAAAGCACTGATTCATTAAAAATAACATGGCCACTTTGTAGTGATATTGTCAGTTGATAAACACAGCTATAAAATGCAAGGAATTCCTGATTCTCTTCTGCTGCAGAAGCATGGCAGGGAAAGGAGGAACAGAACTGGAATGATATGATGTCCCAGTAATATCAGGTAGATCTCTGAGCTCCCAGATCAGCCCATGAGTGTTAACTACTCTGTAGAACAGAACAACTACCAGCATATCAGATTAGTGCAGGGTTCTGCAGAAAAGCAACTAGATTAATAAATTCTGCCGAGTGTTCTGCCTGAAAGTGCCCCCAGAAACTAATTAAATCATAAATATCAAATTCTCTGATGAGACAATGGGCAATACAAATAAATGAGAAAGGCTAGACTGGCAAGTACATATAGGTGATTATATAGGAGGTCAAGAGACAGAATGGGAGATTCTGTAAGGCAGGAAGATGAGTTTGGAGAAAGTGCTTTGAAGCCATTTCAAAGAACTGAGAGAGTAGTATGTCCTGAGTAGTGGAACACTACACACACCAAAAATGATCACCAGCCACCAATTCAGATGCATGAATGTAAAATGCCAGTTGCTTCCACAATCAAAAATTCCAAGTATAGACAAAGGCATAAACAAGATAAGATACGAAGAGACTGTAGGTCCCAAATCGATCCCATGCACGCTTCTCTTTGCTAGAGGTAAGTGTTCCTACCTAATGAACAAAAATATTAGTTTCACTTTTCTACTCTCTGTTAACTGATGCTTTGGTAAACATCATCCTAAATGTGAATGACTTCCTACACGCTACCAAGTACTATACCTCAGGCACCTCTCAGATGGCATCTTTCAGTTTTGCTCTTCTGAATTTTTTTTTTAAGCAGCAAGCATTCCAGCTAGAAAGAGAGAAAGGAGAGGAACATTAAAATTCAAAGTATACACAGCCTCGGCCTTAAAGATCAATCTTTTCAGGATGTGTAATTCAAAAGCAACTTTCTTCAATTCTTCTATTGCAGAAAGACATACCATATAGATTAGGTGCATGTGAAATTTTATTGGCTAGATTGAGTACAGTCTGAAAGTGTCCTTTCCTCTAGTCTTTTGTAGAAATTCACACCCTACCATCTGAACTTCCTGCATCTACTGCCCTTGAGGCATGTCTCCTTTCTGCAAACTCAGGAACACATACTATTTCAAAAAAGTGGAATAGTGGTGAGGAGGGATATATCTTCCCAAAAATCCCTCAATTTGAAGAGTAGGCCAGAAGCATCTATTGGTGTTTGCTTACTTCCTTGAAAAACATACAGCTATAAAAATCTTACATCTCTCTCAGTGTAATTTCACAGGCCTGTCTAGGGTCTAAGAGGTTTGCCATACACCTAAACTCATGCTTTGACTATATTAATTTTTCCTAAAGACACAATTTGGTAGGGGAGAGGGGATAGGTTTACTGTATACTCCAAAAGGCAGCTCCCACTTCCCCCAGAGCAACATTCTTGATTGACCAATCAGTGCTATGACTAAGACCACGTCAACCTGGATGAAGGGCAACGAAGCTGGTGAAGGGTCTGGAGAACAAGTCTTATGAGGAGCAGCTGAGGGAGCTGGGATTGTTTAGCCTGGAGAAAAGGAGGCTGAGGGGAGACCTTACTGCTCTCTACAACTACCTGAAAGGAGGTTGTAGCAAGGTGGGTGTCGGTCTCTTCTCCCAAGTAACTAGCGATAGGGCAAGAGGAAATGGCCTCAAGTTGCACCCAGGGAGGTTTAGATTGGATATTGGGAAAAATTTCTTCACCGAAAGGGTTGTCAAGCACTGGAAGAGGCTGCCCAGGGAAGTGGTTGAGTCACCATCCCTGGAGGTATTTAAAAGACGTGTCGATGTGGTGCTTAGGGACATGGTTTAGTGGTAGACTCTGGCAGTGCTAGGTTAATGGTTGAACTTGATGATCTTAAAGGTCTTTTCCAACCTAAACCATTCTATGATTCCATAAACAAACCTTCTAGCAAAAACAAACAGTACAGTATATACAAGCAGTATGATCAGATTTATAAACTCTATAGCTTTTTTAAAAGGCAAAATATTAAAGTCACCATATAAATTAACCTGTGCTGTTTAACAAATACTGGAAGTTGCTTTTGTAACAAAAAGGATAAAGGATGTTGTAACAGATAATTATTCCTAGCACCTGAATAAGGTGACAGAACTTTTCCATCTCTGCTGGTTGCCAGTGTGCCCCTGTAAAAGCAGTCATCTTTAATACAAGGGGTTTTTCCTGCTTTCCAATCAAAATGATGCCCTATTCCAGGTGCTATCAGAGGTTTCCACTGAGATCAATACTGAAACACCACAAACACCCTTTTGTAGTGTTACTAATTAAGCAAACAAAAGTACAAATAATCCAGTTCTTTGCTTATCTTAATTTGTTCTTAATTTTGCCCCTTCATCTCACACTGACTGGTAGTTTTACTTTGAAAGCCACTACACTAATTTCAGGGAGACTCTGCAATGGGTATGTAAAGGCAGAATTAAGCCCTTAGTCATTCCCCAGATAACAAACAAACAAGCAACCTGCAAGAAAGGACTATTAATCCTTTTCCTATTCGCCTGAATTACAATTCTTCATTACAGACAAAACTACAGTTCCTACTTGCCAGAAAGGCACAGTGACATCTACCTTTCTGCACGTGCTGTCACCTGCACCACAGCAGTGGAAGGACCAAATAGAACTATCCAAGAGTTTTGAATTTTGGAGGCTGATAACTTTGTTTGACTGGATTGTCTTGAATACAGTATAAGGAATACTCTTGAAAATTCCTTGTAGATTTCAGGTCCTTACTCCAAACCACAGAAGGAGCAGCCACCCAGTTTAGATACAATTGTGTGTTTAGCTAGGTGAAATGTAGTTTTCCTCCATTTCCTTCTCAAAAACAGCAACGTCTAAAACTTCAGCCTGGGACAGGCACCTGGCATAGAAAACTACACCCTGAACAGCTGAAGTGTCCAAAGAAGTAAGTTATTGAAAACAGGGTTGTATGGCAAATTGTTAACTGGTGTAACAGCCAGCACAGCCGACACATGACATTTCAACTTCATGTATCAGGTATAAAAGAAAAAATAGATTTTAATAGAATAGTCAAAGGAAAGGTACAGTACTTTGGCTGCTTATTGAAACCATATGTGGATCGTTTAACATAACTCTGTGACAATGAAGTATTACAATTCAGCAAAATTTGAAGAATGGAAATGTTTGCATATTTTTCTCCCTTTTCCCAAAAGGTTATAATGCTGAGCAAGGGGGTGAGGTCATTGAGAACTTATGCTGATGATTCAGCTGGATGCTCAGCAAATTGGTATGCAGTGCTCCCCAATGATGGTTTCAGAACATTTCACTCTCACCATCAACTCGGTTTCTAGTTATATTAAGCAAATTCACTTTATCCTTCAAGAGACAGAAAAACACAGCATATTAAGTTAGTGGTCCAGGTGCTGGCAACTAATGAAGCAACCACATTTCCTGATCGATGTACCTGCTATTGTATACACCCATATGTGACCTATGCAACATTTCAGTGGTCGGAACAGGCTTCTAAGTTCAAACTTTGCATTCATCAGTACCAAAAGGAAAGACTCAACAGTTGTGTATCAGTTGACTGATACACACAAAAGTGTTAACTAGGTCCTTAAATGGCCTAAGTCCTACACCAGAACTGCTAATACAGAACTAGTATCCGTAACTATTACACCACTACAACATCCATATAAATGCCAGCACTACCCATACTGGCACAAAGAATTCTAGAGCAAAAATTCCTTACTCCACCACAGTTGTGAATACGGACATCCAAATCAAGGGTTTGAACTCTGCTGTTTGGAGAGACAGCGGCCAGAAGCAACTCACCTCAGATATGCAGAATTCCTTGTATCATAAACCAATGCATTACAAACAGAAAACAGAAATATACTTAAGGAGGTGCCTGAATATTCAGCTAAAACAAATGAGAACTTTTACAATAATCAAGTCTATGCAGATATACTTATCAGACATTCTGATGAAATATATAAAACATAACATATACAATATGTAATATATATAAAAAATATGTATACAAAACACCTGCATAAGAATAAGGATTCCAGATTCTTATTCCGTAAGAATAAGATTTCCAGGATGCCCCATCCTTGGAAACATTCAAGGTCAGGCTGGACAGGGCTCTGAGCAACCTGATTTAGTTGAAGATGTCCCTGCCCACGGCAGGGGGGTTGGACTAGATGACCTTTAGAGGTCCCTTCCAACCCAAACTATTCTATGATTCTATGATTCTAAGAATAAAGAACATAACTTATTGGTTTTCTAGCCACTGTCCAAGTCTAAAGCAATCCACCCTGATATCACATCTGAACAAGGTCACCTTTTTTCAGTCTCAGGGGATCAGAACTTAACACTTTCTGAAGAATGAAGGAAAAAAAGCCATTCTTCTCATAGGAATTCAAGTTTCAGAATAGGAAAAATCTCTCAGATGACTTCAAACAGCTTGACAGCATTTTCAAAGGGCTTTCATCAAGGTTTGCAAAAGATGCCTAGGATACACTGCCTTGTTTTTTCCACATTGTTGGACTTGTTTTCATGCCACTCTGCAATCACATCCAGAGGCACCTCAAAGCATGGGCCTAACTGGGCCCTTGAGTGTACATAGGCTACTAAGGACTTTCTCTCTGCTTCTGTCCCTCTCACGATCCAGAGTCAGCACTACCAGAAATACAGTTCAATAAAGTGTTAAGCTTCTCGACCAAATCACCCTGAATTTTGGCAGACCACCCTCCTTCCTACTCATCACGGCACTGTACAAACAAGCATTCTTGTAATGATAAATTCCCCTGAAAACAGCAGAGCCCAATTCACATTTTTATAGACATGGGTAGGAAATTTTAATCAATTTTTCTTCCTCATCTTCTCTAATCTGCCAGTTTTTTAAGAAATGTCCAACAGTCCTGATATTGCTGGCTGCAATTAGGAAATCCTAGACCAGCCAGAGACTGGCCGGGAAGAAATTCAAGCTTTCTCTGACATTTTCAAGAGGTCCAAACTCTCTGGCCCACAAAAAAAAAAAAAAAAAAGCAGCAGTGAAAGCAAACAGGAGGAGGGCCAAGGCCTGGAGGAAAAAGTGTTCCTTCTAAAATAACTAAGGCATATGCTGCAAAGAATTACAAAACATCCAAACAGTCCCATATTGAGTTCAATGTTTTACCCAGACAAATCAATCTTTCCTAAATTTTGCCATATGTCTTTTCTCCTCCCAAGTGCCAGCACAGCATGCCTCACTTTTTATTAAATCTACATCATATATACAAGAGAACTATAACAGTGTGTAAATAATTTAAATAATACTGCACTGATTTTCTTTAGCAATATAGAATTACTTAACGCAGCTCAAAATTTTTAATAATTGGAAATTCTGATGTATTTATTTATCCTTGTTAAAAAAAAAAAAAGGAAAAAAAAAAAAAGAGGCACTTCCATCTGTTGCATGGATGTGCTGTGCCAGGACAGTTCCATACTCCTTTGTACCAAGAGTTTTCTTCTGTTTCAGATAGCTGGATCCACCTTCTCTATGTAAACTAACTGTCATCGGTACATAAGGAAGATTCTAACATTGTGTTAGAATGTTTAAGACATACTATTGTCTTTCTATTTAACTACTTCAAGTAATTAAATTGCTTTAAAAGATTGGTTTATAAATTTAAGGATAAGACTTTTGGTTTAAATGGAAAACTTTAATTCCACCTAAATCCTTCTGTTCTAGTGAAATACTCCATTATGCTGGAGATTAACAGGAAAAATATAGGC